TAAAAAATATCACTTCTGCTCTAAAGATATTTAGAAATTCTCAGTCAGACCAAGAAGTTATAAAACGTAGATTTTTTTATGAAAGTCTTTAGCGTTTGGTTAATACATTTTTTTGGAAAAGGTGATTGTTTCAATCATGTTTTAGTTCTCCATCTTTAGTTGCCAACTGGTTATAGAATTTGTTTCAGTGTCGTTCGATTTGTTAATTGTAAAAAAAAAAAACAATAACAATACAATTTTATTTCAAAAGTAAATTAACATGTTACTTGACTACTTACAGTCATATTGCGTTGAGCACCAGGTTTCTCGTTCGCTAACCAAAAGTTAAGCAATATTGAGTCTTGTCATTAATTAGATAGGAGATTATTTGAGAATACCATGGGAGGTAAGCTTACATCTGGTGGATAAAGATTATTAGTCTTAGAGGAAAGTTAAACAAAGTGAAGTAAAACTCTTTTTCTTTGCTGCCTATGACCAAAATAAATCAGGCGAAACGCTTCGCGAGTCAAGGAGTCAAAGTCTCTAAAGGAGTAGATATATTTATAATTTTGTTTCATCATTTCATCCCATGCAAGGTAGTAAAGTCACTAAGACACAAGGGGTCACTGAGTGTAAAAGAATTAAAAAAAGAAACATTATTAAGGAGCCAGAGCAATAGAAGAGTAATCAGAAAAACAGCAGACATTATGATTGACATTATGATTGAGATTGAATTTAAATTTTCGAAGATCAAAGATGGTTGGAAATCATGTAGCTGTGATAGTGTTCCACAAGCGAGAGGTGCGTAAAGAGAAAAGATGTGAGTTGATGAGACCTTGTTGCTAGTCGAGTACTCCGCTTAAATTGATAAAGTCTAGGTACCATATCGATGATCGCATCTCTATAATCATCAGGGAATTATTTATATAAAAGGCACAGATAAGCAACTTTACGGCAGTACGAAAGAGACTGAAGCCGAGATGCCAGGTAAAGCTTAATAATATTGCTGAGTCATCTTTGGATTTTATCAAGAATCTCTAAATATATAGCAGGAGCATCGGACCATACTGAAAGCATGGACGAATGGAAGACTTATATATATGTAAGATAGATTTTGGTGAGAAAAATTGTCTAAAACAACACAGACAACAACCTTTCTTAGCGGCAGACCTACCCATGAATTCAGTATAGTCTTTGTATTTGATGCCAGCCGAAAAGGTGCAATGAGTCACTCTCCGGGTGGTTAGCATCAGCCATGTTGATGGAAGGCAGAAAGCGATCTCTAAGATGATTAATGAAGATTGTGTGTGTAATCCTGCTGCACGTAACATCTGACATCTTCCTTAGACCCAACCTCTTTCTAGTGTCAACTAGGGTCATCCATAACTGGGGAAATCATGATATCATGTTCTTATTTTACAGTTATAATATCTACACGACGTGTCTTTGTACATCTTCAGAAGGTTGACTTCAGTGTTGTCCTTCTCGTAGGTTGTTTGCTAACCACGGTTAGAGAGCCTAGTCTGCTCTGCTATTTAATCCATAGCAATGGGGAGAAGAATTGAATATATTAAATTCCTATGCGTATTTGTGCAAAAGTGAATGTAACCAACTTCGCCGGAATTCGAATCTTTATACTAATATGTGGATGCTTCAAATGATCTATGTTGACATTCCTGCATTCTTATTGATTCCGATCTCTTCCATGGACATTGCGAGGTTTGCCATTGCTGTCTTCACAATCTCAGTTAATGTCTGTAATGGGTGGCCATCCTGAACTTGGTCTATAGGGGGAGGAATGTCCAGTGTTACCAAAGTCTGAAGAAACCAGCAACTTTTGCGACGGTGCTTGAACCATGTTTATCAATACTTGTTTTTCAATGGACCACTTCAGTTGCGTAGAGATAGGGGATCTACTTCATAGGTGATAATGTACTTGTGCACCGGAGAGAGAGGGAAAACCGCAGTCTACAGACAATTTCTGGTGATCCTGATAGGTCATCCAGAGCCCAAATCTCAGATGCATATGAATGAATGGCATTTTATGATGGCTGCTAAGAATAACCAACATTTGGGTTTAAAATTGAGGAAGTACGAATTTAGGCTTTGTAGGAATCATAATAGTCTATGGCCTCTATGTAAAAATTAAGCTACCAGACACAAGAGTAAAACCAATCTGATATTTAGAGGACATTTTAGGACAGATGCATATGCTCCGAGACTTAAAGCAGTAATTTGCATTAACCACATGAAACGAACAGGATAAAATCAGTCTCTGAGCAGAAAAGTATGTTGGCACTTACGAAATTTAATAATAATTTAGCTAATTTAGATAAAGTGAGTTCCTGCCTATCCGCGTTTCAGAAATTGCTACTTCACACATTCGCGTATTTTTCTATAGAACATATGTACTTGTTATTCACGGAAACCCCGAATATTCGCGTGTTTTTCTGAACAACATATGTACAAATTATTCGATGAGAACTCCCTCGATTCGCGTATTTTTTTTCGCTAGAACATATTTGAAATGTTCTTGTATTATGTTCTTTTTATTTAAATGACTTAAAACATATAACGATCCATTTTTATGGCAAAAATTGGCAGAATTGTACATATTCATTGTAAAAGAAAACGCAAAAAATATGCATAGTGCTTGGGCTTTGTTCTTTGTTAGGAGCTGTGCCTGGGGACTTAAAAGTGGTTTATGCTAAGTCTGTGGGCATCATCACAGTTCTGTTTTTAGAAAATATTTTAAACTTTATATTTTATGTCTTGTTACACATATTTTATACAGTATTTTCAATGGTTGTATCGATCTATGCATAATTAAAAACGGTTATTGTACGTATGAAAGAAAATTTACGCTAAGTGTATGGTCACCAATACTATTTTTCAAAAATATTTTTAAAAGGGTCTGAAATGTTTCTAAAGTGTTTAGGATGAAAGTTTGAACCATATGGGGTTTTAACAATCAAAGTGGTTACTTATAAGCATTTTTAGGGGGGTTACAAGTATTGGCGGAATCTAATTGTTCCCGGTTAGTTTTGGTCCCTAATCCCCACAAATATGGGGGACTCACTGTATACGAGGCTGAAAGGTTCATAGGCTAACTATGAAACTATCAGATCCGTGAAATCTTACATGCATTAATTTCAACTCTTCTTGTTAAAAACTGCATTGTTACTTTCCAGGAAAATGATATCTATAATATATATATATATATATATATATATATATATATATATATATATATATATTATTTACATTATTCGGACTATTGTCCTCATTTTTGTTGCCATATCTATCACAACGTTACGGGCGTTGTACGCTCCGGCCTTCTTCAGGTGGTTGGAATTTCGAACTGAATCCTTTCTTTCGCTCACTGGGGTAGACTGTTTTAGTTCCACGTGCCATGTTTAATGAATGTCTCCTGCTTAAAGTTTCCCTCTGAAAGTTCTCCACTGCCTTTACCGGGTATTGAACTCATACCCTTTGGGTCCTGTCACTGGATCTAACCAATGCCTTTATCCACTGTTCCATGTGTCCGTGAGCGAAATAAAGGGTTCAGTTCGAAATTCCAACCACCTGAAGAAGGCCGGAGCGTACAACGGCCGAAACGTTGTGATAGATATGGCGACAAAGATGAGGACAATAGTCCGAATAATGTAAATAATGTACATAATACCTCATCTCAGAAATATAGACAGATATATATATATATATATATATATATATATATATATATATATATATATATAAGAAAAGTATGCTGAACTACTATGGAATATAAATCCTCCTTTAAGGAAGTCCATAGGGGTCGTTTCTTCAGCGAGTTGCATAAAATCAAAAGAGGGAACACTCAGAATTTATTTAAAGGAGGCATCGAAAATCGATGATGACCCAATAAAGCACAGCTAGGTATTTTGTGCAGGTGGCATGGTTGTAATGGTTTGCGCTAGGCCACAGCAATCCTCTCTTCCTAATACTACAATTCCAGGTACGTCTGGGGAGAGAAAGCAGGCCGCAGGGGACGCCAGAAAATGCCAGATAGTAGTAACTGTCTTCGGATTCCTTCCTCCGGATTTCCCTGGTAGGTTTGAATTAAGAATTTTGCTTCTTCTAGATCGGTTGCCACCCACGGATATCGAACTCAATGTTCTGCTATTCACCCCATAGTTGGAGGGAGAAGAGCTGGATTCAGGCTTTTCACAAAGGTATTAGCACGCATGTAAACTCGACTGGAATTCGAACTCGGTTCGCCACTTCTTCAATCCGAGCCGTAATCCATTATTGGAATAACGGATTGCGTCGTAATAGAAAAATATTACTCCAAAAATGGAGTGAAAACGTTGGAGAATTATTTCAGTTGAGATAGGAAAAATCGAAAAATATGGAATGGCAGAAAATATTAAAGTCTGGGAAATATGAAAAGGAACTAGGAAGCAAGATGAAATGAGATCGCAGTAATAAATGATTTTGCCATCACAGAAATAATAAATATGAAATGAGTGCTGAACTGTAACGTAATTCTCTTTTATGCCAGTGAATACTGCACAATTTCCTCTCAGCTAAAGAGAAGACATAATGCAACAAATGAGTGGTTTTACAGAAGAATGCACACAATACCATGAACTGAATATGTCGGTAACAAAAAAAGCTTTGAGGAAAATGGAAAAAGAAAGGAAAATTATACTAGAATTATAATTAGAAAGAGACAGATGAAATTTATGGAGAAAATTTGGATAATATGTCAGTCACAGAAGGCAGGGAGAGGCAGCTGGTTTTGATCAAAAAATTTTAACAGCATATCGACCCTTTTACAGGTTACTTAAAGCCAGAAAAAGATTTTTAGATTGTAAGAAATTTTTGAAAATAATAAATATTCATTGATATAGATTCTAATAATTGATGGATATTTGTGTATACCTGAATATAACGAAACCGACTGGAATTCGATCTTGACTCTCTGATTTCCAATTCCGAGTCGTTATCGATTACACCACCCACACATCCTGGCTTAAATCACCTGGTATTCCCAAACGTTCACCCATCTAAGCCCTGACCAGGCTCGACGTTGCTTAACTTCGGTGGTCGTATGTAAGCCGACGTTTCAACGTGATATGTCCGTAAGCCGCGACATCCCTGATGAGTTTATCCAAATAGAAGGTAGAAACGGATGGGAGGGATGGTAAAAAGACAAACATTACTGATAAAGATAGGAAATTATGGAGAGCCACCACCGATAACGTCCTGAAGGGAAACAACACACAGATGAAGTCAAGTACTTTTCGCACGAGTGGGCGTTCAAATGAAAACGATTTAGCATTCAATCTCGCATTTTCCCATATGAAACGCTAAAATAGATCCATTAATAACCATTAAGATTCATAAGATCATAGCAACACAGGGGCAATTTTAAAAATATGCCGTATTTAATGGCGTATAAGAGGCACTTAAAAGAATGACTAACAACACCGCACTCCATCTATTTATTTAAGTCTTCTCGTAGACTAATTTTATCCTCAAACGCATACTAAAATAGGATATAATTGTACCTTGGACGGGAATTTCGTAACTACTTAAATATACTGGTTCAGTCATAAAGAAAAAGAAATTTTTTAATGTGGGAATAATCTTTGTATAATATTACTTTTTAGACCGTCTTTAGAAGCGAAAAAATATTAATTGAACATCGATTTAGGTCTTAGTCCTGTTTAAAATATTATTATAGTATCAAATTGACCCCTGACTTTTACAGATTTATAGATCTTTAGCGAAGTACCTTAGCTGTTATTTACAGATGTCATGTTAAAAATGAGCTAATTTCCATTTTTAAAGATCAATGTCACGGGATGACATGAAAGAAGAATATACTTTAAACTTTAGTATTTGACTGGGACTCGTTACGTTTATTAATATTTTCTTTATACGCATAGTTTACGATTTCCAACACGAGATGTTAACTTATGCTTGTTTTAATTGAAATAATACCTTAAACAGAATAGTACCTTTCGAAGAATCTTTGCAATGAAGTGATGGGATACTAGATTTTCTTAATGTAAGTTTGTTTTTTTTGTTTTTTTACGTTCGGTGGTATAAACCCAAACACCACAACGATAATTGGGACAAAAGCTGCTTAAACATCGTACCTTCTAGTAAATTCATTGTAGAGGAGGGTGTACTTCTGAAGCTTTTTCAATTATTTTGATCTTAATATTATAGTGATAAGAAACAGCCACATCAGTAAAGAGGCATTTTCTAGAGTTTGTGTGTTTTTATTTTTATTTTTTCTAAAAGACGATGATGGCTGGTTTAATTCCCTCGTAGACGCAGTCTATATAGATGCAAAAATCCCACAAGATCTTTTCTTGGCCGTTCCAGCCACATTCTCTGTCTAGTCGCCCGATTATTTTTCGTTGGCGTCAAGGATTTGATTCCTCTAAAATATGTTATTATATAATAACTGTACTTGTCCTTTTCTTCGTCAGTTATTTAATTCGTACGACTTGCCAATATCTCATAAATAATGAACTATCCAGTTTTGATCGAAGGGAAAGACAAAAGAAATATCTGAGATGTTACTTGGTTTCAGTGAATAAAAGAAAGAAGTTTTTAACATCTTCCTCTAATATCTAATAATTAATGGAATATTCCGTTTTGACCACGAGGAAAAGAAAAATATATATCAAAGTCGCTAAAGTTGGCAATGTCACAACTTTTCATTTGTACCCCCATCTCCGAATTCATAAGACGACGACTATTAATTTTTTTTATGGTTGTTATGGCAATATTTTGTTAAAGTTGTTCAACTCAAATATTTAATAATGCGACAGGAGATATTTCTACAGATATTTTATTGTCGTACAACTCGCCATGAGATTATTCAATCATTAAGATTCATCGGAAATTTAAAATGGGTTAAAGCTAGTTATTATTATTAATAGTAGTAAAAGTATAATTTCAATTAAAATTAAATTCCATTTAAAATTAAATTAAATTCAATTAAAATTAAATTCAAAATTAAAAGTAGTAATAGTATCACTTCAATAAAACGTGTTTGTTTAGTGTGTTTCAATTGTATTTCGCTGACTCCGAGGTGTTTATAAAATTCTACTTGTTCTTGTTCCCTAATCATTGTAAAATAAAAAGATCTTGGTCTATTCAGCGTATTTCTGTAAATCTCCCTTTAGTTGGTGTTACCTTTGACCATTTATCTAATCCGAAATCAATACCTATGTCATCACTGAAACATTTTAGAGCTTTGAGGAGACATTGTCGTCTTTGGCAAAGAGTTTGCGATAATCCATGTAGAGTAGGTGATTAAATACTTTCTTGTTTACTTAGTATCTTTATTCCAATCACAGCGAGGGTCCTAACTACAACCGAAATTATTGATGTTCTCATGTGCCACATATTTTTAGAATTCCACTTCAAGATCCTCGTATTTTTAGAATTTTTTGAAGATGTTCAGAGATGAATTACAGTCTGCATGAGCTGCCATGGCAATAAGAAGGCACATTCTTTTTTTGTGGTCTTTGGTCACAAGGTCTGAGCAGTTATTATTATTATTATTATTATTATTATTATTATTATTATTATTTTTATTTTCTTTGATTTCTGGCGTTTACACATTTCTTTCCGGGTCCCGCCCAGGGACCTAAGGTTAGAAATGGCGTCATGACACTTTCCACTGACAAAAAAAAATTACATAGATAAAGCCCTTCGTAAAGTGTGGGCTGTACTTGTAAGAACAATTTTTTGTATCTCCCTTCAATTAGTCTACTGCAATCTTTTCCAACCAGTCCTAGGGCTCCAACTACAACAGGGATTTTTGAGGTTCCCATATGCCACATTTTCGAGATTTCTATTTCAAGTTCCTTGTATTTTGACAACTTTTTGAATATCTTCAAAGATACATTGCAGTCAGCAGGGACTGTCATATCAATAAGGAGGCATCGTTTTTGTTTGTGGTCTTTAATAACAATATCTGGGCGGTTGGCCTTGATTGTTCTGTCAGTGTGTATTGCGTAGTCCCATAGAATTGTAACAGGTCCTATCTCCGTAACCGGGTCTGGGTAGTGTTCATACCAGTTTATTTCAGTTTCCTTCCCGTAGAGGTTGCAGATTTTCCAGTGCAGATATTGGCCCACTCAGTTATGTCTGGTTTTATATTCGTGGGTGCCTACATCGTGCAACCTGATAGAATCGTTTCTGGATATTTATCACAGAATCTGCATTTTGGGCTGACACAATATTTTAGTATATGTGCTTGATAATTCCTAGTTAGCAAGCATTGGTCATGCGCAGCAAGGATTAAAACCTTCAGTTTCCACTTTCATACCTGCACTACGTAGCCACTGATGGGTACGGCTTTTGTCTACGTCAGCTTGTTTGGTACGGGCAGAGTATTGGCCATGAAGCGGTTTATCTTGCCATCGCTTCCGTATCTGGTCGGTTGCATTCGTCTTTGCTGTCTTTTTTAGGTATTTTGCGGTTTCAGCTGGTGTATTGTGCTGTAGTTGCATCTCTACGCCCATTTGAAACTCCATTTTAAATTTGTTCACTTCTTTCATTACGGAGTAAAGACGCTTACTACTTCCATGTTCCTTGACGCATACCATCATCCAGTCTTCTGTAGTTTCCAAATATCTTTGGAGGCCAATTGTTGTAGTTTTGTAGGACAGTTCTAGTTGAACTCATCCTCTGCCTCCTTCGGATCTGGACACATACAGACGATCAACATCAGCTTTGGGATGATGCATGGGATAGCAAGTGAGAATCTTTCTCGTTTTGGCGTCCATTCGCTTAATTTCAGCTATGGTCCAGTTAAGGACATTAAAGCTGTATTGCACCACAGGGACAGTCAATGTGTTTATGGCTGATATTCAGTTTTTTGAGTTTAGCTCAGTATTTAGTACCAGACGTACACGCCTGTAGTATTCTTTTCTTATTTTTTCCTTCATTTGGGGGTGTTGTATGCCATCTCCTTCGCTAATTCCTAGGTACTTATAAGCTTCATCATGCTCCAGTTCCGTAATATTTGTGACAAAATCTAAATCTATTAAGGGTGTTTCTGTAATTCTACCTATGTCGTCACTGAAGTATTTTACAATATTGAGGAGGCCTTTCAACTCGTTGTCGTCTTTGGCAAAGAGTTATTTTTATTATTATTATTATTATTATTATTATTATTATTATTATTATTATTATTATTATTTCAACTAAGAACTACGGTCAGATATGGCTTTCTGACTTTTTCTAATGATCGTTTTTGTAAAAAAACAACTAAAAAGAAACAACGTAAGATGACATGTATTTTATATAGATAAAGCTCTCGGTGATGTATGAGCTGTACAATTTTTTGTATTTCTTTAAAGCATGAACTAAAAGGAATCCCTTCAATGAGTCTAACGAAAGATTCCCGATTATTATTATTATTATTATTATTATTATTTCCTCTAATTTCTGGTGTGTACACATTTCTTTCCGGCTCTCATTTTTCACGGAGCATTTTTGAAAAAAATCACACATATTTTCCATAGATGAAGCCTTCGTATTGTATGGGCTATACTTGAGAGAACAATTTGTTTTTGTATTTCTTTAAGGCATGATCTACCAGGGATCCCTTCAAAGCCTATTGGAATCTTTTCCAATCAATCCGAGGAATCCAACTACAACTTGAATTCTTAATGTTCTCATGTTCCATATTTTTGAGATTTCGATTTCAAGGTCCTTTTATTTTGATAGTTTTTGAAGATCTTCAAAGATACATTGCAGTTTGAATGTACTGCCATCTCAATACGAAGACACATTCTCTTCTTTGATCACAATGTCGGGGCGATTAGCTTTGATTGTTCCGTGTGTGTATATTGTAAAGTGTCATAAAATTGTTACACGTACTAAATCTGAAACCACGTCTGGGTGGTATTCATACCAATCTCTTGCGGTTTCCTTTCCGTAAAAGTTGCACATTTTCCAATGCAGATATTGGCCCTGTCTGTCATTTTGGAGTTTATATTCAGTGCGTGCTAATACCGTGCAAGAAGTTGGTCAATTTTTTTTCTGGATACTTCACAGAATCTGCATTTTGGGCTCACATAGTTTTTAGTATATGTGCTTGGTAATTTCTT